TGTTTGGTCAATTCTTTTGTTATTATAGACCTGGTTTCATTTTGTAGCCCTGGATGGCTAGGAACTCAGGTCAGTTAAACCCCCTCTGCTTCTTAAGAGCTGGGATTAATGATTACAACCTTTACACACTACTGTTTATTTTAATTTCTTATTCTATAAACAACTTCTCATTTCACACTTTGTTTCATTCATTCCACATTTACACTCCTTTGAGCTTTGTTTTAAAATGATAATTTCATGACTGAAACCAATTCCGAGTAAACTATTACCATAATGCCAAGTTATGTTTCTAAGAGCAGAGGCAGTGTGCCTCTTTGGAGACAATGCACTCGAAGGAGGATCAGATGAAGTTAGGCTCATCTGGAAAAACAGAGACTGGCCACTTAACGACAGACAACACTGTAGCCAGAGCTCAGAAGAAATTATGTTTTTTCCCCAGGGACAGTGACTCAACACTTGCAAACACAACGTGAATAGTGACTTTGGAAACAGAACATGTTAATGCCAGGATGAAGTCATTAGAGAGGAGAGAGATAGATGAACCAACCCACAGTCTCAGAATCCTGTGTGAGAAGGTTGAGGGCAGGTTTTCTGTCATCCACAGATTCATCGACAATGGTCATCTGTCACCCTTTACAGGTCCATTTCTCCATGATTGGGCAGGAAGCCTTCTTTTCTAAGAACATGTCCTCAAAAGAAGTCATCAAGGTTTTGAAAGAACAGCAACCAGAAGCAACTCCAGCACAAAAGAATGCTGGGACATCTTCTCAGATCCCCTAAGATACATTCCTGGCTACAGTTCAAATGGGAACCTGGACAACAGAGGGGTGTTTTGTGGGGACCCCTTCCTGAGCACAGTTTTACAGACTCTCTTATTTCCACAGTGTATGAAAACAGTCAAGATGACTACAATGCTCTCTAGAATGCTGAAGGAAATGGCTGTTAATAGTCTCATCATAAATGTGAAGGACTCTCTTCTCATTCTCCAGAGAGGACAGTATCCTGACCCTGAAGATGTTGGTGTTTCTTTTGGAATTCCCCAGAATGCCAGAAGATCAAGCCAAAGGCACCTCCAACTATAGGAAGAGTTCCTGTGGGTCCCTGCATACCAGAACCAGGAGATAATCTCTACATACACTGGTCAAAGCTAGAGATTCCACAGAAACCTCAAACCTTACAAATTTGAGGAATGTCCCAGAATCTTCAAATATCCCTGAAACCTTTCAGCCTACCAGAGAAGACATATCAATGAGAGACCATTTGTCTGTCCCATTTGTCAGAAAGAATTCTATCCAGTCACAGACCTCTGAGTTCATGAAGCCATACCCAAGAAGCCTTTCACATGCAGCACATGTGGAAGGTCCTTCAGCCACAAGACCAATCTGCAGGCTCATGAGAGGATTCACACAGGAGAGAAACCTCACACCTTCTCCCTGTGTAACCATAGCTTCCTCCAGTCATCCACCTACTACTGTCACCTGAGGAATCGCCACAAATCAGACTGAACTGTTAACCTTCCTCAGCAGAGGTTTGCTGGGCTACAGCCTCAGTGTCTCATCTGTACATGAAGAAGCATTCAGCTTCTAACTAACACGTAGCCAGTGAAAATTTGTCATTTAACTTCCAGATTGTTCCTTCCATCTGTTTTGCCATCCTTCTGGTGAGGGTAAAGAAGATGAGTGATTTGACAGTTTGTTCACTAAAGTTAACCTATGCCTAAATATTGGTTGTTACCTTAATTCTCATTAGTAAATAAATGTTGATACTTCTGTGTTTCTCCTGTATGTTATGTTCCATGTGTTTTCATGTGGTATATGTGTTAGTGAGTGCCTCTGTGTACGGCTGTTGGGCCTTACCTTCCACCTTATTTGAGACTCTCTTGTTCTATAATTTGAACCCCAGGTGAGATGGCTTTGTAGCTCATAGAGATCCTCTTGTCTGCATCTTCAAACCTCTTTGGAACTGATAGGACAGATGTTTCTGCCACTGGATCTGCCTTTCAAATTATTTTATTTTGTGTGTGCATGCCTGAGTGTATATATCTGAACCTGTGTGAAGAAGCACTTGCATGTCAGTGGGGGCGTCAGGCTCTTGTGAGCCGTCATATATGAGCTGGGAACTGAACCTTGGTCATCTGCAAAAGTGGTAAGGGCTCTTGGATCTGTGTTCTAACTCTGGTTTTTAGATACAAACTTAGGTCATAGGTTTCTACATCAGGCACTTTTAGCTACTGAAATATTGTCTCATCTCTTGAATGCTTCTGCTTTAATATGTTAATAGGCACCTCGGGTAGGTGTTTTTCCTGTGTGTCTTTGGGACCTACCAGTTTTGAGAAGCTGATTCTATTTAGGTTGTAAGGTGATAGGAAAAGTCCTTCCAGTGACAAGGCCATGCAACTAGCCTATACTTTAATAGCGATGGAGCTCTGTTCCTTCTGCATGCCTCTCTGCCATACACTCACTCTCAAAGGACTGACAGAAAAGTTTCCCTTCTAATTCCTAATTGTATTCTCAGAGTTGCTCATCTTCTTTTGTTTTGTGACAGGAACTTGGGACCACGTTGTTTAAAGTTACTTCAGATCCTTGTGGAGATGCTGTCATCATGGGTACAGAACTGAGTTGAAAATCACCAATCTTCTGGGAAACAATACCAAGAGATCGTGAACTTTTAAATCCGGGAAAGTGTCCCATCACAGCTATAGCAGAGTCTCACTTCTCATGGCAACATCTACCACCATGGTGTCATGGAAGACTAAGGTGAGTGACCAGAAGAGTAGCAAGAACTAAAGACATTAGAAAGCACTTGTTGGGGAAGACGTGCTTGTGCTATTGGATACATCTTATTTTCTTCCTAAGTGTCTATCTTATTCATATTTGTATTAAAAATCTTATTAAATATTTCTTTCAACAGCTCTGATGAAAGAAAGGAGAGAAGGATGGAAGGAACGGAGGAAGGAAGGAAATGAATAGATGGGGTAGGGAAAACTCTGGTATTGGTGTACTGGTTTAGAAACAAGGAATATGAATGGGTTTTTGGATGAAATTGGGGCTATTTGGGGCAGCATCATCTGTCTCCAATTCTCCCTAAGGTGTGTGAACCCTGTGCCTTCCATAAGCTGGTACTGAGTCTCTCATAGGAGAAATATCGGAGTAAAATATCTCATTTTACTCAGTGACATCAACTCATTTTCATCTTTCTAGCTTCACTTGGTCAGTCCCTTTCTCTGTCTCTCCTCTCTGTCTTCATCTCCCTCACCCCCTCTCTCTTTCTGCATGCCTCTTATTTTTTTAGTTTTTAAAAGGAGGATCTATTTGGATTCTTCTTGTTTACTGATGATACTGGAGGGACTTGCACCAACTGGACAAGTCATGAGCTACATCCCAATGTCATCATGTTCACTTGAACTGCTTTCATTCTTTTCATCAGTTTATATACTTCTGGAAAATGCTACATTCTATTTTTGTGTCTGAATAGCTAGATTATAGGAATCTGTAGAATAGAATATTGATACTAGTAATTAAAATTTTATCAATGGTATAATTTTAGGGTGATTATTCTTCTAGGAAAGATGAATTATACAGAGCTTGAGAGTTAAGAGTTAAAGATTGAATGAATTACAAGTAAGGAATCAATGCATATCAGGAATATGATTTATTTCTTGGTCCTTCAGCTATTCTAAAATATGGCAGATTTTTTCTTGATTCTATTTCTATGTTTCAGTAAATATACACCCAAATTGGTTGTTGTATGGTTGCAGCTCACCTGATATCTATAAGAACATACAGATACAGTGCTCTTCTCATGTGAAGAGTTAGGCCTGATCCCTGCTTGAAAATACACCCAGGTATGTTTGGCTTTCTCTATTTCTGTTGTTTTGTCACTGTGTTGAGTTTCACAAGGTGTAATATATCTGCCTGATATCAGAGAATTCTGTTAATATGTGAATTCCAAATTAAAACAACAGCAACAAAAGTATATAATATTATACACCTGTCTAATAAATTTGTAACTCTTGCTTATAGGCAAAAATGAAAGTTTGCCAATGAGACCCCTAAGCTTTATATCACTAACCTATGAGTCCAAGTCAGTGTCTTCTTAATTAACTGTCATAACTGTAGCTCTGTAGCAAACAACATAGCAAGAATTTCTCATTTATTGACCACAATGCCCTTATTTTCTGAATTAGAACCAAGTTCTAACTACAAACATTTATCATACTAACCTTGTAAGTATGCAATGCAATCGTGTGAAAAATAACCCCATGGTTCTGCAGCCAATCTCCAAAACATTTTATCACAGACTCAAACTCTATGCCCAATAAACCAACATTTATTACCTCCTCCTTGCATCCCTATCAGTCATCATTCTAATGTCTTTTACATTTTCATCACAAGATTCAGTGACTGTTGGAAAGGTTTGTGCCCCATAGACAGCATACATGTGTGGAGGTTAGGAGATGTGTTTTGGGAGCTGGTTCTCTCCTTCTGCCTTGGGGACAATGGAATGAACTCTGGTCATCGAACTTGGAAGAAAGGACCTTTACATGCTGAGCCATCTTGCTGGAGCTCATCACTTCTGTTTTTGTGCATTTGTAGTTATTCATTGTAATTGCAACAGCTAGACTGAATCACACAGTAGTATAATTCATTGTAGCACGTAACACAGGTTCTCTTAGGTTGTAGCATGTGTCAACCTTCATTTTATAGCCAAAATACTATATACCATTGTATATATACACATGTTGTCTTGATTTGTTTGTTTGTTGATGGGCTTGTGGAATGATTGCATCTTTCAGCTGTTTTGGATGTTTCTGCTATGAAAGTGTCTAGAAAGCTATCTTTTCAAATCGCTGATTTATTTCTTTATCATTCATATTTTAAAAAGTGGAACTTGTTGATGAAATAGCTATTCCTGTTTCATATAAAAATATTTTATATACATGCAGCATACACACCATGAGAACTTTAAGATAGGTATATGTAATACCAAGAGAATCAATAATGAATAAGAAATAAGTTTTAGAAATGTATTGCTTTTAGGAGGGAAATTATTACAATTCAAACATAGTCTTTAAAGCAAGAGGTAATATACATTTATGCCTTGTTATTCAAGGAAAACTGCAGGGACAGAAACAAGACTGTCACTGTATCATCAAGAAGTATCACATGACCTTCTGTTTGAAGGTCATGTGGTACTTTATCAAGTGAAAACACTAATCTTCAGTAAACATACCCAAAATTTTCTATTTAAATAAATGCAGAATATGAACTTCAATAAAGAACAAAGCTTTATGTTTCTAATTTAAATAGGAAGAAAAGAACATTAAGAGATAAAAAAGAACAAAGCTTTAGATGCTCTTCTTCAATAAGTGAGCTATATAATACGGAAAAGTGAGAAATATATTATTTTAGCTAACATCATGAAATAATGCATACCCATAATATATTTCCAGTTTTTATTGACCATAAGAAATTTATTTACATTTTTAATAGGAATGAAAATGGCTTCTGACAACTTGGCGGTAGGAATTTTCCTCTTCTCCCAGATTATAGTGGGCATGCTTGGAAATTTCTCAATACTACTTTATTATGTCATTTTGATAGTCACTGGAAAGCATTTAATGCCCAAAGACCTCATCATAGAACACTTGTCTTTTGCCAACTGCTTGTCTATCATCTCAAGAGGCATTCCACAGACAATGTCAGATTTTGGATTTAAGTATTTCCTAGATGACATTGGATGTAAATTGATAATGTACATTTATCGAATATCAAGGGGGGTGTCCCTGTATGCCATGTGCCTACTGAGTTGCTTTCAAGCTGTCACAATCAGTCCCAGCAACTCCAGGTGGATGAAACTTAAACACAGAGCCACCAAGTATATTGGTCCCTCGTGCTCACTCAGCTGGCTAGTTCACCTGCTTCTAAACATCTCAACACCAATAAGAGTGTCAGGACCCATTTACAACAAAAATGCAACCAGTATGACTAGTTATGGATACTGCTCATGGTTTGCTTCTGGTAATGTGTCAACAGCATTGTATATGTTCTTACTGTGCTTCACTGATGGCCTTTGTCTTGGTCTCATGGCCTGTTCAAGTGTCTCCATGGTAAGTATCCTCTACAGACACAAGAGACAAGTCAAGCACATACACAGTGCTCAGCACTTTCTGAAAGTCTCACCTGAGGACAGAGCCTCCCAAACTATCCTCACCCTTGTGTGCATATTTGTCATTTCTTATTCATTGTCTTCCATTTTGGTAATCTTTACGACCTACTCCAAAGTTCCAATGCTATGGGTAGTAAGTGTATTTCTATTTCTAGAAGTATGCTTTCCCACAGTTAGCCCCTTTGTTCTCTTCAGCAATATCAAGCCTAGTTGCAGCATATTTTTACCTTGCTGTGGTAAGAGAAAGCTTCTTTCAAGTTTGACGTGAGCTGTAATTATCTGTCTTTGCTTATATATTGGCATACTCTTTTATCTATTGTAGGATGTTAAAACTCCAGTTTGAAAATACTGAACATACTCTTCTCTCCACCTTCTTCACCAAATCCTATAGGTGTGTGTGCCACAACAACTGGCAATAAGACTCAAGTCTGTAGGGATCAAAGACCTCAGCATAAAATCAGATACAATGAACCTGATATCACAAAAAGGGGGAATAGCATTAAATTAGTTGCCACTGGGACAACTTCTTGAACAGAACACATATTGTTCAAGCACTATGGTCAACAATTAAAAATGGAACCTCATTAAACTGAAAAGCTCCTATAAGGCAAAGTACACTGGCAATAGGACCAAATGGCGTCCTGCAGAATGGAAAAAGATTTTCACCAACTCCATATATGATATAGGGCTAATATATGAAATACATAATAACTCAAGAAACTAAACATGAATAAACCAAACAATCTAATTTTTTTTGTTTTTACGTGTCAGGGTTTCTCTGTATTGTTTTGGAGGGTGTCGGTCCAGCCTGGCCTCGAACTCACAGAGATCCGCCTGCCTCTGCCTCCCGAGTGCTGTGATTAAAGGCATGTGCCACCACTGCCCGGCCAAACAATCTAATTTTAAAATGAGGTATGCTTCTAAACAAAGAACTCTCAATAGAAGAAATTCAAATGGCTAAGAAGCATGTTAAAAATGTTCAATATCCTTAGCCAACTTTGAAACACAAATAAAAACTACTTTGAGATTCTATCTCACACCTGTCATAAAGGATAAATTCAGTATCACAAATGACAGTTCATATTGGTAAGGATGTGGAGCAGGGTGAACACTCCTCCATTGCTGGTGGGAATGCAAACTTGTATAGCTACTATGGAAATCAGTGTTGTGATTCCTCAAAAACTAGTAATGGATCTAACACTCTTGGTCATATACCCAAAGGATGTTCCGTTCTACCACAAAGACACTTGATCAGCTATGCTCATAATAGCTCTATTCATAATAATTGGAAACTAGAAATGACCTGGATGGCCCCCAACTGTAGAATGGCTAAAGAAAATGTAATACATTTATATAATGGAGTCGTGTCAGTAGTTAAAAAAATGACTACAGGAAATTTGTAGGCAAATGGATATATATTAAAAATCATCTTGAGTGAAGTAACCTGTTGCAGAATATTTGTTTAACTATGTAAAGATGTGTTACATTTGTTTAGCTATTAAAGATGTGTTGAATTTGTTTAACTGTGTAAACATGTGTTGCATTTGTTTAGTTATATAATGATGTGTTGCTATTTTACTTTGCCTGCCTAAAGGACCTGTGGATCTCATAACAAGTGGAATGGCCAATAGTGAGGGAGGACGTATAGGCAGGACTTCCGAGCAGGAAGGGTAAATAGGAGGGGGAAATTTAGTTTTGAGAAAGCAACAAAACAGAAGAAAAAGGAAAAAGATGACCAGAAGACACCAGGGACCAGGCAGCCAGACATGGAGGAAAAAGCAAGTAAGACATACAGAATGAAATAAAGGCAAAAACCTCAAAGCAAAATGTAAATGAATAGAAACAGTTTAAATCAAGTTAAAAGAATCAGTGGGACAAGCCTTAATTAAGGTCAAGCATTCATAATTGATAATAAGTCTCTGTGTTTTTATTGGGGAACTGGTTGGGCCCAAAGCAAATATAAACTCCAGTAACCGGTACCCAGAAAGACAAACATAGTATGAATGCCCCAACCTCCTGCATCCCTAGTTTCAGGTGAGCTTGGGTCTCTCTGGGGCCACCCTCCATCCCCTGCCCATCACCCATCCCCTCAATCTTCCAGGGGCCCACTTCAGGCATCCAGAGGACCTACCCACACAGGAAAAGCATCAGTCCTTCCAGACCCCAAGCTCCTGCATCCCCATCTTCAGGTGAGCTAGGGTCTCTCTGGGGACACTCCCCATCCCCTGCCCATCCCCCATCCCCTCAAGCTTCCAGGGGCCTGCTCCTGGCATCCAGAGGACCCCACACACAGGAAAGGCATCAGCCCTTCCAGGCCCCAACCTCCGGCGACCCCAGATTCAGCTTCAGCTTCATGAAATAAGGAGACCAGTGGAGACAGAAAGACCCCACCAGCACCCACTGGAAGAAGAGATGGGAAGAAGACAGAATAAGAGCTCACTCATTAATAGAAAGACCAACATGACTCCACCAGAATCTAGAGACCCAACGCCAGCAAGACCTGAAAAGCACTACATAGACAAAGAAGAAGAGACAGACCTTAAACATTATTTTATGAAGATGGTAGAGACCCTCAAAGAGGAAATGAGGAAATCCCTTAAAGAAATATAAGAAAAAACAAACAAGAAAAATATGAAATGGGGGAAAAGGTGAACCAAAAAAATCAAGAAATAAACAAATTTCTCAAAAAGTCTAAAGAGTACCAAGAAAAAACAACCAAACAAATGAAGGAAACCACTCAAACAGTTGAAGGATTGAAAGCTGAAATAGAAACAATAAAGAAAACACAGAATGATGCGATGCTGGAAATATAAAAGTTGGATAAACAATCAGACACTACAGATGCAAGTATCACCAATAGAATACAAGAAATAGAAGAGAGAATCTCAGGTGTTGAAGACTCATTAGAGGATATACAGTCATCTACCAAAGAAAATCTCAAAACCAACAAATCCCTAACACAAAATATCCAGGAAATATGGGACACCTTGAAGAAGCCAAACCTGAGAATAATACGTATAGAAGAAGGGGAAGAAATACAGCTCAAAGATATAGAAAACATCCCAGGGATGCAGGGATGGTTCAACATACGAAAATCCATCAACGTAATCCACCATATAAACAAGCTGAGAAACAAAAATCACATGATCATCTCACTAGATGCTGAAAAAGCCTTTGACAAAATCCAACACCTCTTCATGATAAAGGTCTTGGAGAGATCTGGGATAACAGGGACATACTTAAACATAATAAAAGCTGTATACAGTAAACCAACAGCCAACATCAAACTAAGTGGACAGAAACTCAACGCAATTCCTCTAAAATCAGGAACAAAACAAGGCTGTCCACTCTCTCCATACCTTCTCAACATGGTACTTGAAGTTCTAGCCATTGCCATACCACAACAAAGAGGGATCAAGGGGATACAAATTGGGAAGAGGTCAAACTTTCACTGTTTGCAGATGATATGATAGTTTACATCAGTGACCCAAAGAACTCTACCAGGGAACTCTTACAGATGATTAACACCTTCAGCAAAGTGGCAGGCTACAAGATCAACTCAAGAAAGTCAGTAGCCCTACTATATACAGATGATAAAAGGGCTGAAAAAGAAATCAGAGAAACATCACCCTTTACAATTGCCACAAACAACATAAAATACCTTGGGGTAATGCGAACCAAACAAGTGAAAGACCTGTATCGCAAGAACTTTGAATCTTTAAAGAAAGAAATTAAAGAAGCCCACAGAAAATGGAAAGGTCTCCCATGCTCTTGGATAGGTAGGATCAATGTGGTAAAAATGGCAATCCTGCCAAAAGCAATCTACAGATTCAATGCAATCCCCATTAAAATCCCAGCACAATTCTTCGCAGACCTTGAAAGAATAATAATCAATTTTGTATGGAAAAACAAAAGACCCAGGATAGGCAAAACAACCCTGTTCAACAAGGCAATGTCCGGAAGCATCACCATCCCTGACCTCAAGCTCTATTATAGAGCTATAGTCCTGAAAACAGCTTGGTATTGGCACAAAAATAGACAGGTAGACCAATGGAATCGAATTGAAAACCCAGATATTAACCCACACACGTATGAGCATCTGATCTTTGACAAAGAAGCTAAAAATATACAATGGAATAAAGAAAGCATCTTCAACAAATGGTGCTGGCGTAACTGGAGGCTGGCATGTAGAAGAATGTGGATCGATCCATGTTTATCACCATGCACAAAACTTAAGTCCAAATGGTTCAAAGACCTCAGCATAAATCCAGCCACACTGAACCTCTTAGAAGAGAAAGTGGGTGGTACCCTTGAATGAACTGGTACAGGAGACAGCTTCCTGAACATAACGCCACTAGCACAGTGAGATCAACAATTAACAAATGGGACCTCCTGAAACTGAGAAGCTTCTGTAAGGCAAAGGACACAGTCAGCAAGACAAAAAGGCAGCCCACAGAATGGGAAAAAATATTCACTAATCCCACATCTGACAGAGGTTTGATCTCCAAAGTTTACAAAGAACTCAAGAAGCAAGTCTCCAAAACACCAAAGGACCCAATTAAAAAGTGGGCTGCAGAACTAAATAGAGAATTTTCAATAGAGGAGTCTAAAATGGCTGAGAGGCACTTGAGAAAGTGCTCAACATCCTTAGCCATCCGGGAAATGCAAATCAAAACAATTCTAAGATACCATCTCACTCCTGTCAGAATGGCTAAAATCAAAAACACCAACGACAATTTATGCTGGAGAGGATGTGGTGAAAGGGGGACACTCCTCCATTGCTGGTGGGAGTGCCAACTGGTTCAGCCACTTTGGAAATCAGTATGGAGATTCGTCAGAAAAATGGGAATAAACCTACCACAAGACCCAGCAACTCCACTCTTAGGCATATATCCAAAAGATGCCCATTCATACAACAAAGATGTCTGTTCCACTATGTTCATAGCAGCATTATTTGTAATAGCCAGAACTTGGAAGCAACCTAGATGTCCCTCAACCGAAGAGTGGATAGAGAAAATGTGGTACCTTTACACAATGGAGTACTATTCCGCAGGAAAAAAAAAAATGGAATCCTGAGATTTGTAGGCAAATGGATGGCACAAGAAGAAACCATCCTGAGTGAGGTAACCCAGTCACAAAAAGATAAACATGGCATGTACTCTCTCATATATGGATTTTAGACATAGATCTGGGGAGTGCCAGCCTACAATCCCATGGCCAGAGAGTCTGGGAAACAGAAACTCCATTCAGTGGCTAATGGAAGAAGAGGCAGACTCCCTCAGTTAAGTACTGAGATGAACTCAAGGAAGCCAGTAATAGAGAGGCAGGACTGATGACCAAAGGGATTAAGACTGGGCTGGTTTAACCCCCAGAAACAGCTGACCTGACAAAGGTTAACTCTTGAATCCCAGGCATCAGCCTGGGAATCCAGCATGGGACTGATCAAGAACCCCTGAATGTGGGTGTCAGTGAGGAGGCCTAGGTAATCTATTGAGCCTTGGGCAGCAGATCAGTACTCATCCCGAGTATACACTCGGACTTTGGACTCCCATGCAACATTGTGAGGTGCACTCTCACCCTGAACTCTTAGGGGAGTGTCGAGGCCCTGCCCTATATGAAATGACAGACTATGGACACCCCCACGGAGGGCCTCACCCTCCCTGGAGAAATGAGGGGATAATGAGGGGGTTGGGGGGAGGACACGGGAGGAGGGGAGGGAAAGGGAGAGGGACCTGGAACTGAATTGTGAAGAAACCTTGAGTGTTTATTTGGGGTTATCCTATGTTGAATACTATGCTCATCTCAGAAGGCACAGGCTGACAACTTAAATGTCAGGTGTGAGATGCCCTCTCTTGAGTTGTTGGTCCAAGGGTCCTAGAGACCCCAAACAATACAGATTACTACCACTGCTCTTGGTCGCCTTAAGAAAATTTGTGGCAGGACCCTTTTGCTGAAGATGCCACCCACTTTGAAAATGGATGTTAGAAATCAAGGTCACATTGACCAAGATGTTTCATCCCTACTAGGTAAATTTCGTATCTTACCCTGCTGTAAACACTGTAAACTACAAAAATTATCAGCATAGTAAGATACTCCCATGGGTACATTGGTAGCACAACTAATATTGGAGTAACCAGTCACTTTCTGGTTGGATGAGGGACTTGTTCCAGAGCAGAGTTATTAACCAATGGTTCTCCACATCAGAAAACATATATCCCAATGTATTGGGAACTGAGACACTACTCAGTGGCAAAATTACAGTTATAAAGGAGCAAAGAAAATAAATGTGCTTAAATAAATCATAAAATGTGTTTTCCATGTGTACCACTGGTTGAGAACTGCAGCTTTACAGGAAGTCTGGTGTTGCAATTTGGGGCCAGAATCCAAGGTAAGTGACCTCACAGGCCCATGGATGGGATGAATGCCATTATTTTGCAAAAAATACAC